TCTTTTTAAATATTTTCAAAATCAAAAAGTAAATAAAAAACTGTCGATGATATAACCTTTTTTTGTTAATTTACTTATACCTTATTTATTTTCTTTCGGTTCCAAATTTCACTCGGTATATTGATTAAAAGAAAATTATTAATTAAAAAATAATGCATGGTTTATTTATGATTAAAATCTATTTCATACTCAAAGACAATTAAAAATTTATTGCATACTTTTACGTGTTAGGGACATGCTGTTATATTATGAGTCGGCTCGACTGGAAAAGGACCACGATCTCGAAGAAAACCAGCATAAAATAGCAACTTAATGCTGCTGTTTTCTGTGGTGAGTATAGACAACCGCAGACCCTTTTTATTGCAAATAAGGCATTCTATCTAAGTTCTAGCGGGAAAATATATCGGATTCACTCTTCGCATGAAATACGGCAGTTCTGTAAGAAAGTGGTTTTTCCCGGTCGAGCCGACCCATTCGTGCTAAAATCATAGTAATATTTCCAAGAGAGTACATGTTTTTATAGTTACATACGATATGATGCATGAACACAAACACACTTCTGTGTTAGGAATTACAACAAATTACCAACAAGGATGCATTAAGCAATCGCTAAAAGTTTGCGAGCAGTGAGACTACGTGACGAAGAAGGCATCGACAGTCACCTACATCGTTATAAACCTTACAAAGCCTGGATACGCTGCTAACGCAATTATTGGATTCCTCTGGTTCTACTCGACCATTATAAAAACGTGTCGACTCCAACATGGAATCGCGTAATTATTCACGTAATTAATGCGGGAATTTCACTATTTTTATCACGCAGCACTGCAAATGGCACTTTAAAAATTTCCTTTGCCGTATTTTATTGTTGGGAAATTGTTTCTTCTCTGTAAGGCTGTGGTTATGGAATAAGTAAGTGTTAGTAATAAATTATTAGTTGTTTGCGGTTTGTTAAGATTTTTTCACTTTACTTGTTAATTATTATTGTAAGCTCTGTAAATTCGTTTACAATTCAAGTCCAAATAAAATAAAAACAATATTTTTTATAATAATATTTTAGATATATTACGACCATTTTACATAGCTTAGATATAGTTACGTATTCTATGAATAATTTGATTAAAAGATCGAGTTTTGAAATATTGTAAGTATAGAATATTATCTAATCAAATTACATAAAAGTTATAATAAATTCTATGATTTTTTGTCGTTGAAATGATCGTAGCAACTAGTCTTGATCAAAGGATATTCAAAATCTTTACATGGTAATAAAAATTACTATATCCGCATGCGTTACGAGATCTAACGTTTATATTATATAAGATGCCTAAAGTTTACATTATAAACATACTCGTAAATTGAACAATATATTGTTTTCTAAAACAGTCACACAACTAACAGCTCGTAATTACAGACGAACTGCTATGCAGAAAAGCTGTCCTACCACCTAAAATTAATATTAGAGGATGATAGTTGTGTAGATTTTTTATAAGTGTAATGCCTTCCATCAAACCAAAATTCAAGGAGATTAATTTAATTCACCTTAGCTTCACATCGTAATTAGATTCATATCGTAAATTTAAAGCAATCTGCCCCAGCTTCGCACGGGTGATTTCTGTATCTCGACAACAGCGCTATCACCTACCGGGTCCAATTTTGAATCTAAACCATCCAGAGACCCATTCAAACACTCACAAAATTTTTCATCATATATCTTAGATATTTCCATTAGAAGTTGATTCATTTACTTATTTGTGTTTTATATCAGCTTTCAACTAGCACATATTATCGCAAAAAATATAAGTTGAAAACAAGTTCTTTATTCAAATGTGAATGCTTTACATTTTCTCTACTTTCTTATCTACTTGATTGCTTTACGAATGCTGTTATCTTGGAAACAAAGGTGTTTTGATACGGTGTTTGACATATTAAAGATAATAATCCAGAGAAAGATTAACAGCGTATGTATTTACTCATTCAGGAAATCAATTCGCTTATTTTCTTCCAAGTTTATAGACCGCCTTGCTCCTGGCAACATATTATCAGACGTTATCAATTAATGTTGTTTTAAAGAAATATTTTATTACATTATTAGAAACTCATAGGATAAATAAAAGATAACAATTTATTCTTGTATAATATATTAAGTAAAATAAATTTTTATTTGTTATATAAAATGAAAAAATAGTGAATTGTTTGATATCTTTCGATCCAAAAGAGGGTAAGTGCGGTGATGGATTTTTATGTCGCTATCCCACAACAAATCTGAAAGATGTGATGATCTGAATCAATAGAAATTTTGTATGATACGCTATAGAAGTACATTTTTACGTAGCAGTTCTACGTACGCATCGTCTCAAGGCTGCAGAGCACGAACACAAAACAAATTATAAATGCATAATGTTTGGCGTTATTGCTAGTAGATTAGTTCATGCTGAAGGCACGTAGCTGTCCGGCATACATAGCTTCAAGTGCCGCAGAACTTCCCTGAATTATGCTATTTTCCCTGCAGTAGTTTTACTGCATATGCAGCAAGAGCTGACTTTCGACGTTATTTTTATTTATATATGTATGATTTTTCGATTTTCTAGAGCCAACAAACGAGGGGACCGCGATAATATAAATTTAACCAAAATTTTATGATTTATTCAACTATGTTAAAACCATAATTTCAAATCAGGTTACAAGTTGACGAGTTACGGTAAGACTAAACCCCTGTTCGATGGTACGCCACTTTGGCTTGACATCAATTTACAGCAAGATTCGGCCGTAAGCTGATTTACGGCAATTGTATGTGCGACAAAGGCGATTACCTGCACTTGTCAACTTAAGGAATTACAGAGCAACGAGTGCTGCCGCTGCGACTTGCGACAGTTTCAAATTGAGTTGGCCATAAATCCTCAACGTGCGAAGGCTATATTGAAATGAAAATTTTCGAATCAAATCTCTTTATTCAATTCCGCTACAAATTCAGTTTTTGAAGTGAAACTTTTTTATCGGCGTAGTGGAGTAAATAAGTACGGTAAATCATAAACGTCACGTTTTCATGTAACTTTTCACCGCGCGGGCTGCATAAGTATACTATTATTTAACAATTACATGCACATTTTTTTAATTTAAAACGTTGCTTTTTTAACTTCTTTAAATTAAGGATATTTATTTAAACGTTATTAATGAGTGATATTTAAATTAATTTTACATAAACGTATGTCTCCGCTACAATTGGCTCATGGGTGTCTATTCAGTGTGGACGTTTAATAGGCTATACCGTTACCGTTACAGTCTTTTGATGTCCTCCAGACCGAATTTCGGCCACGGCGGCCTGCCTCAATGGAGGCTAGCCAACGGCGCAGGACAAGACCATAGAGCTCAAGTGTATGAGCAAGTACAGGTGCACTCTCTATTCCCTCCCTCTCATAATCCGATGGCACGGTAAATCAACACGACCGGAGAGTGATCAGGTGCAGGAACAAAGGCTTTACGTGCTTTCCGAGGCACGGGGGTGAGATACCGCCAACTTCCTGACTCCGGGCAGCTACTGAGAATTTATTGACAGAAAAACTCAATAATTGTTTTTTGGCCTGACCCGGGATTCAAACCCAGGACCTCATGATCAGCAGTCGCGCTACTACAACCGCTAGACCAACGAGGCAGTCAACTATTAGTCTACTGTTGAACATAGGCTTCCCCTATAGATTGCCTCATTGGAGGGATATTTGACATAGTTGCCACGCTTGGCAACCGCAGTTTTTTTATTTTTAGTCGTTATTATGAAGAAGCTACTGCTGATTTGTTTCCCTCTGTCGCATCTTACGACACCCACGGGATGATATGATGTAGTGGATATTCTTACACCGTCACTACACAGTTTTATTATTTATTTATTATCTTACCAATAAATAATAAAATTAATAGGCTATAATGAATAGCAAATAACTGATCATTAAGGGCAAATATAATGTCAAATGGCTTAGCAAGATCCTTCGTTATGCCGAAAATATTGCAGCATTAATTTTGAAATAAATATATGGTAAAGTTGAGGCTTAATGTTAATGTCTATGTTAGACGAAAACACGATTTCGTAAAATTTTCTCGATAGAAAAAAAATTCCAAAGTTACCTCCAAAATAAACAATAAACCGCTGTTATTCATAAAATACTTTAAATAAGATCATGAAACTTTGCATACTAACTGAACTAACTATAAAGCAGTGCTTATGTTATTTACTTTTTTTAAAATACCATTATTTTCACTGTAAAAAAGAAATTACCTAAACTATCGGCGTCTTGAGCTTGATTCCTGTCGTTCCGTTAGTATCGCTTAGGCTTTTGAAGGGAGTAGTTGTGTCGCTTACGATCAGAATATACATTACGCAACAGTACGACGTAAAATTAAAATGGGAAATAACCGTGATAAAAATAAGAAGCGGCTGGCTTGGCGTTAAGAAACAGGCATAAATATGATAAACCTAATGAAATAAGTGTCTAACGACCTTTCTACATACAGTATTAGTGATTACAAACATATCGGTACATAGCATACGACGCGCGGGGAAGTGGAGGCGAAATTAGAATTTGAGTTGACTTACTCTATCCCAGGAGTTCCCAACCAGGGGGGGCCGCCTCCCAAGGGGGGCATAGAGAGATGTCAAGGGGGGCGCAAAGCGTTTGCATTTCCTTTTTTTGTTATCACTAAGGTGGTAAACATGCAAAGAAAAACAAAAAACAAACATACAACATAATACAATTAAAAATAATACCTATTCACTTATTTATTCTATCAACCAGTTGACCCCGACGAAAACCCGACGTCGTGGATCGCAGTTTATATAAGTTTCGACAAGTCACAATATGAAACCCGCGCGCACCCCCGCCGCGGCACCCGCTTGCTTAACATTCATCCATCAGAAAACAATTGAGTACCTACCGGAGGCGCATAAGCATCTGTGAAATTCATTCCCGCACTTGCGACAAATTTGACGTTTCGGTGTACATTTCTTGTTGAAAAATCAGTTTGAGTGTGCAAAATTATTGTGTCTCACCGTTAAAAGGTAAGTTTGTGTATTTACAAACTACAGTCACCATTTTTATTTAATTTATTAAATTGGTGATAGAGCGGAGACGCGTTCATAGATCAGCCATTGTGACTGATTATTGTTTTATTGTTATAGGTGCAAAATGGCAGCGAAAAAAAGAAAGTTTTCCGAAGATTACATTAAGTTTGGATTTACTTTCATAGAAAAAGATGAGTTACAATTGCCTCAGAGTGTGATATGTATGAAAGTTTTAAGTAATGGTAGCATGAGGCCCAATCGCCTTAAAAGGCATTTAAAGCAACAACATCCTACTCTGCTTTTGAAGATGAAAGAGTTTTTTCTTCTAAAGCAGAATCACTCAAGCGGATGAGATTGGATAAATCGGAAAGTTATCACACAGGTGTATCGCAGCAGCTCAAAACTTCATTTGAAATAGCTTTTATGATAGCAAAAGCAAAAGAAACCTCATACTATCGGTGAAGAATTAATAAAACCATGTGTCCTAAAAGCCACGCAGATAATTTTAGGAGAAGATGCAGAGCAAAAATTAAGTCTATTTCTCTTTCCAATAATACAGTCAAGCGTAGAATCGATGACATTGCAGCAGACATTAAGTCACAAATAATTAACAAAGTAAAATTATCGCCATTAATTGCGAATTCACCGACATCGTTAATTGTGCACAGTTAATAGTTTATGTTCGTTACATCGACGGAGATATCATTGAAGAAGAGATTTTGTACTATCAATCTTTGACAGCGGGTACTACATCTGAAGATATATTTAATTCAATATCAAATTTTGTTGAAAAAAAATGATTTGGATTGGAATAAGCTCATTGGACTTTGCACAGATGGCGCACCTGCAATGATAGGTGTACGATCGGGCTTAGCTATAAAGCTCAAGGAAAAAAATCCCGCAATGGTTAGTATACATTGTTTTATTCATAGGCAAGCTTTGGCGTCCAAAACATTGCCACAGAAATTACGCCAGACTTTGGACTCGGCTATAAGGATTGTAAACTACATCAAGAGAAGCGCTTTGAACAGCCGGTTATTTACTTTGCGAGGATCTTGATTCTGATCACAAAGTTCTTCTGTTCCATACAGAAGTACGCTGGCTGTCCAAAGGCAACATGTTGGCTCGCCTTTATGAATTGCAAGAAGAGGTAATTATTTTTCTTGAGTTCAAAGAAAAACACGATTTGCTCACAATGTTCAAAGATGACACATTTCAATGTATGTTGGCTTATTTAAATGACTTATTTGGTGCCTTGAATGAGCTAAACTTGAAAATTCAGGGCAGAAATGACACTATAATAAGCAATTATGATTATATTCAAAGGTTCATAGCAAAGCTTCAACTTTGGAATAAAAAATTGTCTTCTGAAAATGTTATATCTTTTTCTCGGCTGTTCGAAGCAATCAAAAATAACAAACTAGACGCAAATTTGAAAGCTGACATAAAAACTCATTTACAAGCGCTGGAAGATGAATTTCGCCGATACTATCGAGACATCGATTCAGAGTCACCAATATGGCACATGACAAGAAATCCATATGTTGTCGATATGTTACAATTACCAGAAGAAGTTCAGGAAGAATTTCTAGAAATGAAAGCTGATTCATCCATGAAAGATGACTTCCATCTTTTGACTTGGAGAAATTTTGGATCAAAAGATTGCCTGTTAATTCGAAACTTGCCTCTCTTGCTTTACGAGTACTAATTCTTTTTTCTTCAACTTACTTGTGTGAGACAGGCTTTTCGGCTCTAGTTTTAATTAAAACTAAACAGCGAAATCGTCTTGATGTCGATAGCGACCTGATGATAGCTCTGGCAAGAACAAAACCTAGAATCGAAATAATACTAGTTTTTACGGAATTTATCGCGTATATTTAACTTTATTAATACCCGACGTTTCGAACGCTTTACAGCACTCATGGTCACGGGCGGACTGAGATGTTCAACGTCCATATGTCATAGTTAACCGCGGTTACAATAGATTAAAAATTTTTTTTAACTTTTGTTCCGATCTATGCAGTATGAACTTATGGTATCTTGAAGTCTTGCAGTTGTATGCTTGGGTTGGGATTTAATTTTATTTATTATAGGATCTCAAGCAGATGGTAGCACCCAGCCATCTTCTCTATTGAAATTAGGATGTTTTTTGATTTTCAATAGCCTCGCGAATCATCCTTGGAAGGAATCGGTGTTCTTTAGCGAGGATTTGCGGTCTATCAAATCTGATGTAGTGACGGGGGCGATTCTGTACGTGTTCACAGACTGCAGACTTCCCGGAGCGTCGATTCTTCACATCAGCTATATGTTCTTTAACGCGGGTTTTTATTGATCTTTTAGTTTGTCCTATGTAGGAGAGACCACATTCACAATCAAGCTTGTACACTCCTGCATCTTGCAGAGGGACATTACACTTGACTGATGGTAAAAACTGACCAATCTTCTTCAGCGGCTTGAAGTATGTTTTGATCGAAGCGCGCTTCAAGATGTAGCCAATCTTGTCAGTGACTCCTCTAACATATGGCAGTACAGCAGGTACACGCTCGACTGTGGCCGGCTTCACTCGTTCACTGTGACGTAGGCGCGAGACTCGAAGCTTGTTGTCATGCAAAACTTGCTTGACATGGTGGAGCTCTGCAGCCAGGTGTTTACTGTCACAGATCCCTCGTGCTCTCTGAAACAAAGATTTATTCACGGTAGCTAACTGTGAAGGATGGTGGTGAGAATCACCATTTAAATATCTATCTGTATGGGTCTTTTTTCTATACACAGTATGGCTCAAGGTGTTATCAGGATTCCGAATTACTAACACATCTAGAAAAGCTAAGGAATTGTTTGCCTCTAACTCCATTGTGAACTGAATTTTAGAATTTATGGAGTTAAGATGGTCCAAAAATGCAGTTACTTTGTCGGTATAATTGTGAACGACACGTAGACGAAACTTTCACAATTCTACTTTAGACAAAGTAACTGCATTTTTAGACCATCTTAACTCTATAAATTCTAAAATTCAGTTCACAATGGAGTACCGTGGGTAAATCTTTGTTTCAGAGAGCACGAGGGATCTGTGACAGTAAACACCTGGCTGCAGAGCTCCACCATGTCAAGCAAGTTTTGCATGACAACAAGCTTCGAGTCCCGCGCCTACGTCACAGTGAACGAGTGAAGCCGGCCACAGTCGAGCGTGTACCTGCTGTACTGCCATATGTTAGAGGAGTCACTGACAAGATTGGCTACATCTTGAAGCGCGCTTCGATCAAAACATACTTCAAGCCGCTGAAGAAGATTGGTCAGTTTTTACCATCAGTCAAGTGTAATGTCCCTCTGCAAGATGCAGGAGTGTACAAGCTTGATTGTGAATGTGGTCTCTCCTACATAGGACAAACTAAAAGATCAATAAAAACCCGCGTTAAAGAACATATAGCTGATGTGAAGAATCGACGCTCCGGGAAGTCTGCAGTCTGTGAACACGTACAGGATCGCCCCCGTCACTACATCAGATGTGATAGACCGCAAATCCTCGCTAAAGAACACCGATTCCTTCCAAGGATGATTCGCGAGGCTATTGAAATCAAAAAACATCCTAATTTCAATAGAGAAGATGGCTGGGTGCTACCATCTGCTTGGGATCCTATAATAAATAAAATTACATCCCAACCCAAACATACAACTGCAAGACTTCAAGATACCATAACTTCATACTGCATAGATCGGAACAAAAGTTAAAAAAAAAATTTTAATCTATGGTAACCGCGGTTAACTATGACATATGGACGTTGAATATCTCAGTCCCGCCCGTGACCATGAGTGCTGTAAAGCGTTCGAAACGTAGGGTATTAATAAAGTTAAATATACGCGATAAATTCCGTAAAAACTGGTATTATTTCAATGTGTAGTGTTCGCGTAAATATAAGAAATCATTATGAAAACCTAGAATCAACCAACTGGTACAGAACATCCAAGCTCAAGTGTCTCATTAATACCTACTTATTTTATTAAATTTTTTGGATAAAAACATTTATTATTTTAATTTAAACTTTTAAAGTTTGTTTATTAGAATTAAAATAAAAGGGTTTTAAATACATAATGTGCATTTTTTGTATTTATTGTAAAAGTAAAGGGGGGGGGGGGCATGAAAATATTATTAATAGTCCGGGGAACCTCAAGAAAAAAAAGGTTGGGAAACCCTGCTCTATCCTCTTAATGTGGTGTATACCTAAGTGAATCCATCACCGCATTCCGTTCTATTGGTGACATAAGAGTTCACTACGAAAAATCTCTAAAAGATCTGATGATTTCTGACAGATTTTTTGAAGCGCGACGATTAAAACAAATTATCCCATGATTGATGAAGAGAGGTCCATCATGTGTTGAAAGGTATATTTATATTAATAACTAGCGATCCGCCCTGGGTTAGGGCTAGGGGAGTTAGTTTTTTGAAAAAAAAATCAAGATTTTTAGATATAATATAGCCTAAATCACTTAGCTGGATTTGCGCTCTATCAGCTTGTGAAGTTTCATTACAATCCGTTCAGTCATTCTAAAGATCAACACGGCCAGATTGACAGGCAAAACATTTAAAAATAGTTATTAATGTCCTAACAGCATGCAAATTAAGTCCTGAGCTTAACAAAAGGATGTTAAATTTAAATAGTTATAGCCTATATAAGACCCACTGCGCTGGACATAGCCCTCCTCTCATTTTTGAGAGGGTTGTTGAGGGGAAGAGAATTGTCCGTTGCGCTGCCCTAATGCGTGTTGTCAAACAAGGTGGTTATTTCGAGACAAATACTTCAATTTTATTTATATTTACATATATAATTTTTATTATATTTATTTTATTAATAAAATTACTGTTAATCTTATGAAACAAATAAAGAACTCGCCCAACCAGATTTTATCACAGTTGCCACGCTTGGCAGAGGAGTCGGCAACTGTTTATTAATTATTATTTGAGTTGCTGCTGCTCATTATATGTTTTAATTTCCCTCAGTCACCATTACGACACCTACGGGACGATATGGAGTAGTGGATATTGGTACACCGTCACTGCAAGATCACGTTTAAGTTCACCTTTGGATTTTGGAAAGTCTCGTACCGGCAGGCGAAGTTACGAGAAGAAGCTAGCAGCTTAATGATGCTGTATTTCGTATGATGAGTGTAGAGAATCGGAGAAGCTTTTTACTGGAAAAGAGTTCTAAGTCCTGAGGAGTTACAACACATCTAAATTTTGATCCTTAATAGAGCATAAATGTAGCGCCATTTTGTAGCTTTGAATGTTTTTTTTTTAATCTAAAATGTCAAGCGAATTCACAGTTCCACTTATGGTAAGTAGTTCCTGCATCACATGGACACCTGCATTCAAGATTAAACAAAAGAGGATACAGATGCGTTGTCACTTTAAATATATTAGCGAAATGCCAATGATTCACTCACTTGAGATCTCCAAAACTATACGCCCGATTGTTTTAAAATTTCGCATATATACTCCTTACTTTTTTTTATAGAAAAGGTGGCAAAAGGGCATGTGGCTCACATGATAGTAAGTGACTACCACCGCCCATGAAGAACCGCAACACCAGGGGAATTGCAGGTGCGTTGCCGGCCTTTTGGAAATTAGTAAGCTCTTTTCTTGAAGATACTTAAGTCGTTTAGTGTCTCGACGTAGATACCCGCTAAGAAAGTATTTTTGAAAATGTTACCTCTTAGGGGTTTAAATAGGGTGTGACAGCTAGTTTAGATTATAATAATTTTTTTATAGAATATGGGTGACAAACGAGCACACAGTCCACCTGATGGTAAGTGGCTGTTGTGGGCCATAGACATCTACATTTATCTTCGATTAAGAATCAAAACGCAGATGCGTTGTCACCCCTGAGAACTAAGATGGAATATTTCATTTCCAGAATACCCCCCCGATTTTTTTTCGGGGGGGGCTAATTTTTTTTTGTGTGTACGGCCGCCTAATAGTTGAGTTTCCTGTAAAAATGTCTAGTGGTTGGACTGTTACGGGCTGACGAAGACGATCTACGGAGTAACGGTTTCTTCCGTCTTTTATTATCATTGGTCGTCATTAATAATTCTAATTTAAGTTGTTTTTGTGGTCAACACACCTCGTAGTGATGTTTTATAATACACGTTCGAAAGAAACGATTTGTTTCCTCTTTCGTAAGTGTATGGAAAAGAAGGGAATAATTTGCCAGCGTCTATCTTTCTATACGAATAAAATCCGAGTGTCTTCAAGGCAAGAGTGAATACGCTTTGGTTACGCTAAGACAGCGAGATTTACCATCTAGAGACTTCTTCCTATTTATCTCCGGGCGGCAATGTGGTCAAGAAATGGCTAATAATAAGTTAAAAAAATGTCTTATGGCCTTTTCGTTACTACATTTCGTCCTGATGGTGTCATAGGAATAGGCTGTGGGAATCGTCCGTAATAATAACAAGAAGCTCTAGTTACATGATGAATTGTAAGGTATGTATATCATGAAAGCTAACAATATTTTAAACGTAAATATTTAATTGACAGTTATTATTATTGTTACCTGATGTTTTATGCCGCAATAGAGTTTCCGCAACATTGAAATAAATCTGAAAAAGGGAAATGATCTATTTAATAAATATAAAGTGTGACAAATGTCGTTTCTGCTTAACTTTCTAGGAGTTCATACTTTGTAGTTTTTGATTAAAATTATCATTAGTACATGT